AAAAAACAAGATACATGAATGAGTCAATTTTTAAAAAGGGTTCAAATATATGCTGCCTAAAGAAACTCACTTCACCTATAAAGACACATATAGTCTGAAATGAAGGGATGAGAAAAGATATTCCATATAAATGGACACCAAAATCTTCAAGTCAAAGATTATAAAAAGAGAAAAGAATGCCACCATATAATAATAAAAGGGCCAATTCAGCAAGAGGTTATAACAATTGTAAATATATATGCACTCAACACTAGAGCCCCCAATTATGTAAAGCAAATATTAATAGATATAAAGTCAGATAGACTGCAATACAATAATGTTAGGGGATTTCAACACCCTTCTCTGAGTAATGGACAGATTACCCAGATAGAAATCAATTTTTTTAAAACGAGGTTAAACTTCACACTAGACTCAATGGACCTAACAAATATTTATAGATCATTTCATCCAAGTGATGCAGAATACCCATTGTCCTCATCATCACATAGAACATTTTCTAGGATAGATATTTTAGACCACAAAACAAGTCTCAAGAAATTTTAAAAAAAGTCAAAATTATATCAAATATGTTTCCTGACCGCAATGGAATAGAACTAGAAATTAACAAGAGGAACTATGGAAACTATGCAAACACATGGAAATTAAACATGTTCTCGAATGATCAGTGGGTTCATGAAGAAATTAAGAAGGAAGTTTTAAAATATTTTGAAACAAAAGAAATGGAAATACAGTAATAAAATCTATGTGTTATGGTGTAAGTGGTATTAAGAGAGATGTTTATAGCAATAAGTGTTGTTTCAAAAAATAGAAATATTTCAAATAAACAACCTAAAGGTGTACCTCAATGAACTAAAAAAGCAAGAGCAAATGAAACCCAAAACTAATAGAAGGAAAGTAACAATAAAGATGAGAGCCAAAGGAAATGAATAGAGACTTAAAAATACAAAATATAGACAAAACAAAGGTTGGTTTTTGAAAAGATGAAATGGACAAAACTTTAGTGAGAATAATTAAGGAAAAAAATAGAGAAAATGCAAATAAAGTGAAATGTGAAAAAGTAAACATAGCAGCTGATACCACAGAAATACAAAGGACCATTAGAGATTGTTATGAACAACTACATGCCAACAAAATGGAAAGCTAGGAATAAATAAATTCCCAGACATATACAATCTACCCAAATTGAATTGAAAAGAAATAGAAAGCCTGAACATACCAATAACAAATTGAAGCAGTAACATGTCTCCCATCAAAGAAAAGCCCAGGGCCAGACAGCTTTACTGCTGAATTTTACCAAACATTTAAAGAAAAACTAATGCCAATTCTACTCAAATTATTCTAAAAAATGGAAGAAGAGGAACTATTTCCAATCTTATTATATGAGTCCAGTATTACCCTGATGTCAAAACCAGACAAGGATACATCAAAATAAAAAAACTACAGGCCAATATGCCTGATGAACGTAGACAAAAATCCTCAAATAAACACTAGCAAACTGAATCTATCAACAAATTTAAAAGATTATTCACCATGATCAAATGGGATTCCTACCAGCAATACAAGAATGATTCAACATACATGAATCAATGAATGTAATAAATCATATCAACAGAATCTAAGACAAAATCCATATGATAATTTCAAAAGATGCTGAAAAAGCATTTGACAAAATTTAACATTCCTTTACGATAAAAACTCTCTATAAACTGTGCTAGAAGGAACATACCTCAAAACAATAAAGGTCACATATAACAAACTGACAGCTAACATCATACTGAACTTACAGCAATTAAAAGGTTTTTCTCTAAAATCTAGAACAAGAAAAGAATGCTCACTTTCACAACTTGTATTTAACACAGTGCTGGAAGTCCCAACAAGAGCAATTAGGCAGAAGAAAGAAATAAAGGGAATCCAAATTGGTAAGAAAGAAGTCAAATTAGCCTTGTTCACAGATAACATAGTATATTTAGAAAAACCTAAAGACTACCGAAATCTGTTAAAAATAATAAACAAATTTAGAAAAGTTGCAAGATACAAAATCAACATTAAAAATTAATAGCATTTATGTATGCCAACAGTGAAAATCTGAAAAAGAAATGAAGAAAACAATCCCATTTAGAAAGCTAAACAAAATATAAAATACCTAGGAATAAATTTAACGAAAGAAGTCAAAATTTCTACAATGAAAACTATTTAAAAATTGATGACACAAAAATGAAAAGATTTCCCATGTTCATTGGTTGGAAGAATTAATACTGTTAAAATGTCAATATTACCCAAAACAACCTACAAATTCAATCCAGTCTCTATCAAAATATTGATGACATTCTTCACAGAAATAGAAAAATAATTCTAAAATTCATATGAATCACAAAAGACCACAAATAGACTAAACAATCCTGAGCAAAAAGAATAAAGCTGAGTGTATCACTACCTGACTTCAAAACATATTACAAAGCCATAGTAATCAAAACAGCCTGGCACTATCATAAAAACAGACAGATAGACTTGTGGAGCAAAATAGAGAACCCAGAAATTAGTATCTGCTTTTATAGCAAATTTATTTTCAACGTAAGTACCAAGAATATTCTTTAAGGAAAGGACAGTTCCTTCAATAAGTAGTGCTGGGAAAACTGGATAACTATATGCAGAAAAATGAAGCTAGATACTTATTACTCACCATACACAAAAAAAAATCAAATCAAAATAAAGACTTCAGTTTAAGGTCTAAAACTGAAAATACTAGAAAAAAAGAAAACAACTTTGGGGAAATGCTTCAGGACATTGGTCTGGGCAAAGACTTTCTGAGTAACAGCTCAAAAGCATAGACAGCAAAAGCAAAACTAGACAAATGGGACTGCATCAAGCTAAAAAAAAAAGTGTCTGTACTGCAAAAGGAACAATTAACAAAGTGAAGAGACAACCTACAGAATAGGAGAAAATATTCGCAAACTATCCATTTGACAATGGATAAATTACCAAAATATATAAAGAACTCAATAGCACAAATGCAAATAACCCAATTTAAAAATGGGCAAAAGATCTGAATAAACATTTCTCGAAAGAAGACATACAAATGGCTAACATGTATTTGAAAGAATGTTCAACATCACTAATCATCAGGGAAATGCAAATTAAAACCACAGTGAGATGTCATCTCACCCCAGTTGAAGTGGGTTTTAACAAAAAGACAAAAAAAAATAACAAATGCTGGTGAGGATGCAGAGAAATGGAAACACTTACACACTATGGCTGGGAATGGAAATTAGCATAGCCACTATGGAAAACAGTATGGCGATTCCCCAGAAAGCTAAAAATGGAACTACTGTGTGATCCAGCAATCCCACTACAGGGTGCATGTCCAAAGGAGAGTAAATCAGTGTATCAAGGAGAGAGCTATACTCCCATGTTTATTGTAGCACCGTTCATGATAGCCAAGATATAGAATCAAGCTAAGTGTCCACCAACAGACAAATGGATAAAGAAAATGTGGTACATATAGACAATAGAATATCATTCAGTCATTTAAAAAAGAATGAAACTCTGTCATTTGCAGTAAAATAATGGTAACTGGAGGTCATTATAGTCAGTGAAAAAGTCAGGCACAGAAAGACAAATACTTCATGTTGTCACTTGTACATGGGAGATAAAAAAGTTGATCTCATGGGGGTAGAGAGCTGATTGCTGGTTACCAGAGGCTAGGAAGGAAGGATGAGAAGAGGTTGGCTAATGGATACAAAAATACAGTTAAAAGAAACAAGAGGCACTGTTTCAGAGGACAGCACAGTGACTATAATATACTGTACAGTTCAAAACAGCTAGGAGAGAAGAGTTGGAATGTTCCCAACACAGAAAAGAGATAAATGCTTAAAGTGATGGATATCTCAATTACCCTGATTTGATCATTACACATTGCATGCATATATCAAAACATTACATGTACTCCAAAAACTGTATGACTATTACATACCAGTAAAAAAAAAATTAAAATTAAAAAAAAAGGTTTTAGTGTCAAAGTCATGCTGTTTTTATAAAGTAAGTAGAGTAGTATTTCCTCTTTTATGTTGCCGAAATAAGTTGTTTATGTTTGGAATTATTGATTCTTGAAATTATTGATATGTGAAAAACCTCCTGCTGTTATCTGTTTGCTTGTTTGCTTGTTTTTTATGAAAAGATGTTTGATTACAGATTCCATTTATCTGTTGTAGCACCATTGAGCTTTTCTATTCTTGAGTTGGTTTTATTAATTTACATTTTCTGAAAGGTTGCATATTTCATCTTTTCAAATTCATTACCATGAAATTATTCATGACATCCTCATTATATTTTTAGCCTCTGCAGCATCTGTGATTATCTCCCCTTCTTCCACTACTAATGTAGTTCATCTGCTTATAAGCAATGTCCATCTTTAGTCAGAAGGAATTTCACTGCTGATTCCTTCGAGTTCTAAATCCACAGCACAACAGAGAAAGCCCAGATCCAGAGAACACGCTATAATCTTTGACTTTATAAATACCAAGCAGCATTAAGTGTTCATTTATTGCTTATTAACCAAACTGCAATGAGCCACTTGGACAGTAACCCAATTTTAAAACATCCAATACAAAATATTAGAAAATTTAACAAATTAATCACCAAAAAAAATCACGAATACACAAGACAACTTCTAAGAAATCCCCCACATTCTTAGGCACAGAAACACACACACACAAAAAAAATAGAAAATAATAATATTACACTTGTTGAATTTTATAGTAGTTTCATGGCAAATGTTCATTGTGAACATGGATTAGGCATGCCACAACTCAATACAGAACATAGTATAATGTACACATTATAATGCATGTATAACCCATCATAATAGTCACTAAGCATATCTAAATGTATCTCCCATTCAAATAAAAATAATTTTCCTAAGATATCCCCCAAAAAGGAATGTATTCAACTAAAATTATATAAACATCTCCAAATTTGTTATTCACACATTCATTGATTTATACCTTAGAGTCATAGTGTCATTTGCTGGTCTCTGATTGCTGTACAAAGTCCCTCACTGTTTCTATTGACAACTGATACCTCACTTAATCTCTAGGAGTACCGCTCTGAATGGTCAAATCTCAGAACAAGTATGAAAACGTGTTTTCAGTGGGTAGAGGCAATGGGGAAATTCTCACTTTTGCTCTTCCTCCTCTAATATTTGTAGATTTAAACTGTCATCCTACTAGAGTGGTAACTTCTAATAGGATTCAATATTGAACAAGAGCAGAAGGGAGGCATTTAGGCCTGGAATCAAAGGAGACAATCTGTGGCCAGCCCAGTGATTCCTAAACATTTACTCACAAGCACCCTAAAAGGATATGGAAAAATTACATATCCTGTCATACATTTTGTAATTGACATTTAAGATTTTTAAAGAAATTATTTAAGCTTAAGTAGTTGCAAGTGATATAACTTCTCGCACATTATGATACTGACATTTTAAATAAAACTGCTACTTCACTCTTTTAAATGTATCCAGTGGAATCTAAATGCCACAGCAATTTGACACCCACCATCAAACATTTTTAAAAGACGAGGTATTTTTAAAGCTAAAAATTTCACAAAATTCCTTTTTCTCCTTGAACTTGTATTTATATTCTATCCTCCCACAGAACTGTATCCTAATATATATTTGTACTTGAAAGTATTTTATTGATTACCTTATCATATTCTTCTGCAACAAACATATGTATATTGCTTAAATTTTTTCTGTTGCCGTAAGTTTCCAAATGCTAAAAATTTACTTCTGATGCAATTTTTATTTATTCATTATTGGTCAAAATATTACATCCAACTTATAAATCTTGACAAATATCAAACATAACATTGGAAATGTATCTCATAGATGGGACTTTCTCCAATTAGTTCATGAAGCTAAGAAAGAATGTTACTTAATTACACAGGGTTCAGCATCAGAGCTACTTTTATTTCCTGTTTTTATTTGTCAGAATTGACAACATCATTTCAAATAAGACAGTTGATGAAAATGGATAAACTTTTTCAACAATGTCACTCAATTCTCTGAACCCCTTTTAAGGTATATGTTTGAAACATCACGTAGTTATCTATTATCAAAAAGTAAAAGTCTATTCGTTGACAAAAAAACAATAATTTGGAAAATTATTGGTTATTCAGTCGTTAAAGCCATTCACTTTCTTAACACTGGCACCATATTTCAAATATCCCTCTGATATCTTAGAGATTTTTTTGCATCAGCATAATACATCTACACCGTTCTGCATGGGTGAGAAAGTTGCTTTTCTTTTTCAAGTAGGAGAAGGATAATTGGAAAAGGGAAAAGGGAAAGGCACATCAGCAGGATTCCTTGGTTACAGGCTGGTTCTCAGGCAAACAAATTTTAGAAAAGAGTATCTGGAAATTTACTCCCTTTAAGCTACCAGTAGCAGTATACACCCAAGGTGTGTGTGAGGATTACTAGTATCACAGTTTACTAGATATCTCTACTTTAGAAACCACATACAAAATAATAATCAGTTCAATCAATCTAATGTAATAACTATTTGATAACTGACTACTAAGAAGCAGGTTGTAAAAGTGTAAAACAAAGAATAAGAACATGACTTGGGCCCTCCCAGAGAGAGGTAGTTGAAAATCTCTGGAAAGACCAATAGAAGTAGGGACACTAGATGATGATGATGATGATGTCAGGGCTTAAAATACAGCAGATGATGGAGCAAGTACTGAAGGCGTCCGTGTGTACCAGGGAAGTCTGAAAATGAGGAAGGGAGAAGCTGTTATAGGTTAAAAAAAAAAAAATCCTTGGTTTGAGTGTGAAATGTGGGATCAGGAGCAGTCTCCCCTCAAGAGGCTATAAAAATAGGAGCATCTACAAGAGACAGCCAGACCTCAGTCAAGGAAAGAAACTAGGGAGGTTGCACCATTACACTCCAGCCTGGGCAACAAGAGCAAAACTCCATCTCAAAAAAACAAAAAAGAAAGAAAGTAGGGAGGAAACCAGTGTTAAAAGGAGTCTGTTAACCACAAACCAAAAAACTTTGCTATTTTGCTTTTCTTGACTCCTTTGCAGATTTATCTTCCTAAGGAGTACTTGCTTAGAAGGAAAGTGGCTTGGCCAAGGCAGAATATTCTTAGAATTTTCTGGCATGAAAGCCTTCTTGGGGGGGCTATAGCAGCAGTTGTAAATGACAGGATGCTGGAAATATCCTTGAGGTCCTTCAAAGAAAGAGAGAAACAGAATGAACAGAATAGGTGAGTCAGGCTGTAGGAATGTGACACCATGGTATTGCTCATAGATAGCACCAACACGAATGCAGCATCAAGATTCCTGGAACCAGAGGAAGGGATACAAGTCAGAATTTTTAGCTTCATCTATAGACCCAAAGGGAGAACAAGGAGGCTTCCGTAAATCCCTGTGGAGGGGTAATAATATTAGTTCTTTAGATGAAATTATTTGAAAAATGAAACATTTTATTTCCATCAATAGTTGTGTGTGTTTCACTGATAAGCTTTTTTAAATCAACAAATAATAATGTATATATCTATGGAGTACAGTGTGATGTTTTAATATATGTATAGCTTATAGAAAGATTAACTCAAGTTGATTAATATATCCATCACCTTCCCTAAATAAGCTTTTGACGTAGGTGCTAAAAGTGAAAATGTAACCAGTAGAAGCTCAGGCTCTGAGGCAACTGCAGAGGAAGCCATCCAGATTCCACCCACACCCACCCTCCCCAGAAAGGATCATGTGGCTGTCATTGGAGGGGTAAAAAGAACATTTCTTAAAAGCTAACTTCTTTGTGGGATCAGGCAGCAGAATATGTAATTTAGAGACATTACTCTTGTGTGGAGACATGAAAATGGGAGGAAAACAGAATTGTTCAATAGAGGGTATTTTCTATTACTGGTATCGTATTAAATTGGGCTATACTGCCATCTGCAGGTCACTGTAAAACTGTGCAGTGACCAAAGTTAGATGCTGTATCCAAGTAAAATCAGGGAGGAGGAACAAGCAACAAAGGTAAACTCTTATTGCCCTGTGTTCAAATTAACTGATTTCAGTTCTGCGTTGACACATTAAGTAAGCTTCTGTCTAAACATCAAAGAACAGGTATGATCAATTGTTTGGTCTCAAGTGAATGCATGTGTAATGTTTTTTCACAGCATCAGCTACTTTACCATCCTTGCCATCAGAATAATGGGAGAATGCAGGCTCTAATCCAGGCTGCCTGAGTTTGAATCCCAACTTGACACAAGGACAAGTTATGAAACTTTCTCTTGGCTCCATTTTCCTCTCTAAAACATAAAGTTAATAATAATGCCTAATTCAAAGGATGAGTTTGAGAATCAAGCTAATTTATACATGTAAATTAGTATCAAGTCTGGCACATTGTAAGTGATCAATACATTTTAATTATTATTCTTCTAAGAAGCTAACCATAAGTATGTTAAATATATGGGATAACAGGAGAAAAAATACAGGTGAATAGTCCCAATGCCCCTCACCGTCACTCTTGCCCAAAAAAGAGGAATATGCTAAGTTATGATTGGTCAGATCTCAGGATGCTAATTGGATCCAGTACTTAGTACATAGAAAATTGGGATGTTAACAGGCTCTACTGGTAAGTAACACTAACTCAATTTCTTTTTTTAATTATTATTTCAATAGTTTGGGGGAACAGGTGGTGTTTCGTTACATGATTAAGTTCTTTAGTAGTGAGACTCTGATGCACCTGTCACCGGAGCAGTGTACACTGTACCCATTGTGCAGTCTTTGATCTCTCATCTCCCTCCCACCCCTCCCCCTGAGTCTCCAGAGTCCATTATATTACTCTTAGGCCTTTTCGTCCTCACAGCTTAGCTCCCACATATCAATGGGAACATACAATGTTTGGTTTTCCATTCCTGAGTTACTTCACTTAGAATAATGGTCTCCAACTCCAGCCAGCTTGCTACGAATGCCATTATTTCATTTCTTTTTATGGCTGAGTAGAATTCCATTATACATATATGTATGCCACATTTTCTTCATCCACTCATTAGGTGATGGGCATTTAGGCTGGTTCTATATTTTTGTAATTGCGAATTAACATGTGTGTGCAAGTGTCTTTTTCATAGAATGACTTCTTTTCCTCTAGGTAGACACCCAGTATTGGAATTCTGGATCAAATGGTAGTTCTGCTTTTAGTTCTTTAAGGAATCTCCACATTGTTTTCCATAGTGGTTATACTACTTTACATTCCTACCAGCAGTATAGAAGTATTCCCTTTTCACCACATCCACACCTTTTTTTCAGTTATGGCCATTCTTACAAGACTATAGCATCACATTGTGGTTTTTATTTGCATTTCCCTGATTGTTCATGATGTTGGGCATTTTTCTATGTTTGTTGGTCATTTGTATATCTTCTTTTAAGGATTATCTATTCATGTCCCGAGCCTACTTTTTGATGGGATTATTATTTTTTTTTTTTCCTGATTCGTTTGAGTTCCTTGCAGATTCTGGATATTAGTTCTTTGTTGGATGCATAGTTTGTGAATACTCTCTCCCACTCTGTGGGCTGTCTGTTTACTCTGCTGATTGTTTGTTTCGCTGTGCAGAAGCTTTTTGGTTTAATTAAGTCTTATCTATTTATCTTTAAGAACTCTTAATAAACTAGGTATTGATAGAACATATCTCAAAATAATAAGAGCTATCTATGACAAACCCACAGCCAATATCATATTGAATGGGCAAAAGCTGGAAGCGTTCCCTTCAAGAACCAGCACAAGACAAAGATGCCCTCTCTCACCACTTCTATTCAAAATAGTATTAGAAGTTCTGGCCAGGGAAATCAGACAAGAGAAAAAAATAAAGCATATTCAAGTAAAAAGAGAGGAAGTCAAATTGTCTCTGTTTGCAGATGACATAATTCTATGTTTAGAAAACCCCACCTTCTCAGCCCGAAAACTTTTTTTTTATTGCATTTTAGGTTTTGGGGTACATGTGAAGAATATGCAAGATTGTTGCATAGGTACACACGTGGCAGTGTGATTTGCTGCCTTCCTCCCCATCACCTATATCTGGCATTTCTCCCCATGCTATCTCTCCCCAAC